AACAAATTTGATTATTCTTTATCTTAGAGAAAATCGACAGCACCAACAATTTGTTTCTCTTCGGATTGTGGTTGAAACCCATTTAATTTCAGTGGATTAATTAGTGTTAAATTGCATTTAATGTTTAAACCCTGTTGCCAGATTTCCGAAATTTGAATGAAAATTTGATTTTTGTGTTACTTGGAGAAAATTAACACGACCAATTTGTTCCTGTACCGAATTTAGTCGAAATCCATTTGATTTAAGTGGATTAATTAGTGTTCAGTGAACTAATAGATTTTTTTTTGAAATAGCAGATTTGGTAGAATGGATGACAGTCTGTACGATGAGTTCGGGAACTACATAGGCCCGGAAATTGAGTCTGATCAAGAGAGTGATAGAGAGGACGAGGATGAGGAGCTACCCGATAGGCAAGAGGATGGGGCTGCATCGGACGGCGATGATGCAGCTACTGGTCCCAATGGGTGGCTGACTGCCGCCAATGATGTCGATGTGGATAACCAGGTTGTCCTTGCTGAGGACAAAAAGTATTATCCAACCGCTGAAGAGGTCTACGGTGAAGATGTTGAGACATTGGTTATGGATGAAGATGCACAGCCTCTGGAACAACCCATTATTAAGCCTGTTAGGAATGTCAAGTTTGAGGTTGGTGTCAAGGATTCTTCCACCTACGTGTCAAATCAGTTCCTTTTGGGACTCATGTCAAACCCATCTCTGGTTCGGAATGTTGCACTTGTTGGGCATTTGCAGCATGGGAAGACGGTGTTCATGGATATGTTGGTAGAGCAGACTCACCATATGTCCACTTTTGATTCAAATAGTGAGAAGCACATGAGGTACACTGATACAAGGATTGATGAGCAAGAGAGGAGGATATCCATTAAAGCAGTTCCTATGTCCCTTGTACTCGAGGATAGCAGGTCTAAATCGTATTTGTGCAACATCATGGATACCCCTGGTCATGTCAATTTCTCTGACGAAATGACTGCAGCCCTCAGGCTTGCTGACGGTGCTGTCTTGATTGTGGACGCTGCAGAAGGAATGATGGTAAGCAACTCATCTTTCGTTTCATTGAATAATGAATATGCAACATGATATTGTGCCCTTTATTATACTATAGTTTTCTGTTTTTATTAATTTAAGATCTTCATCAACATGATATAGCTGTCATACATTATTGCTTTATCTGTAGAAGAATGTCTGAATGGGTATGATATGCCGCTTGCTTAGAAGATTATCTAATTTTGATTAACAGGTAAATACCGAGAGGGCTATACGCCATGCAATCCAAGAGCGACTACCAATTGTGGTTGTAATCAACAAGGTACGATTTTCTCCTATTTCAGGGCTTCTTTATTTCTCTTTTTTTTCCCCCATTATGTGATGGTATGAACCCATTAACTATATTGTTATTCTTACCAACATGAATTTTCATGTCAAAGGTTGACAGATTGATAACAGAACTCAAATTGCCCCCAAGAGATGCTTACTTCAAGATAAGGCATACTTTGGACGTCATTAATACCCACATAACTGTGGCCTCTTCGACTGCTGGCAATGTACAAACTATTGACCCTGTTGCAGGAAATGTTTGCTTTGCAAGTGCTACCGCAGGATGGTCATTCACGTTGCAATCGTTTGCAAGGCTATATCTTAAACTCCACGGGGCCGATAATACGGACGTAGATAAGTTTGCTTCTCGTCTCTGGGGAGATATGTACTATCATCAGGACGACAGGAGTTTCAGGAGAAAACCCCCTGCCAGTGGAGGAGAAAGGTCATTTGTCCAATTTGTGCTCGAACCCCTGTATAAGATTTATAGCCAGGTGATTGGAGAACATAAAAAGAGTGTGGAGGCAACTCTTGCCGAATTTGGTGTCACACTCAGCAATGCAGCTTACAAGTTGAATGTTAGACCTCTGCTGAGGTTGGCTTGTAGCTCAGTCTTTGGATCTGCCTCAGGCTTTACTGATATGCTGGTTCAACATATTCCTTCCCCTAAAGGTGCCGCAACTAGGAAAGTAGACCATATATATACTGGACCAAAAGACTCTTTGATTTACAGGGCCATGAAAGATTGTGATCCTGATGGTCCTTTGATGGTCAATGTGACAAAATTGTATCCCAAGTCCGACTGTAGTGTGTTTGATGCATTTGGTAGGGTTTATAGTGGGAAGATTCAGACGGGGCAGACTGTACGGGTACTGGGAGAAGGCTATTCACCAGAGGACGAGGAGGACATGACAGTCAAAGAGGTGACAAAGTTATGGTTGTATCAAGCTAGAGACAGGATACCAATAGCCGAGGCTCCTCCTGGTACTTGGGTTCTTATTGAAGGTGTGGATGCTTCTATTATGAAAACTGCCACCCTATGTAATGAATATTATGACGAGGATGTGTACATCTTCCGTCCTCTTCAGTTCAATACTCTGCCAGTTGTGAAAACAGCAACTGAGCCACTAAATCCAAGTGAGCTGCCGAAGATGGTGGAGGGACTAAGAAAGATAAGCAAGAGTTATCCTCTTGCAATCACTAAAGTTGAGGAGTCCGGGGAGCACACAATATTAGGGACAGGAGAACTCTACTTGGATTCAATAATGAAGGACCTAAGAGAGCTTTATTCGGAAGTAGAAGTCAAGGTAATTGTTTGCTCCCAGTTCTCATCCTCTCTTCACTTTTTTTCTTTTATAGTAATATTTTTCCACCAGGATATAAAAACTGTATCTTCTTCTGGATATGCTTTTGTTTGTAGGTTGCAGATCCTGTTGTTTCATTTTGTGAAACAGTGGTGGAGTCTTCGTCAATGAAATGTTTTGCTGAAACACCCAATAAGAAGAATAAAATAACTATGGTAAGAAGCAACCTAATTTTCAGAAATTTTATGTGATTCAGTTTTTAAATTATAATCTCTAAAAACCTTTGTCCTTTTGTAGATTGCAGAGCCATTGGAGAGAGGACTTGCTGAGGACATTGAGAATGGTGTTGTAAGCATTGATTGGTCTCGGAAGGATATAGGCAATTTTTTCCAGACTAGATATGAGTGGGATGTTCTTGCTGCACGGTCCATATGGGCATTTGGCCCTGATAAGCAGGTAATGCACCTGTTATAGGCAACACGTTATTTTGTTTATGAAGTTCTTTTGCGGTCCTTGGTTCTGTTTTAATCTTAATGGTTAGAGTATAAACATAGCTTTATATAGCCCCGCCCCCAACAGGCGGGTAGCAAATCACCTTGTGACATAACTTTCTTTTATTCATCTCTCCCTCCCTCTTCGTTTCTTCAAATTCTACTTATACGTTCCAGGCCTGGTATGATTTTGTTTGACAAAAGGGTATATTTGCAGGGACCTAACATTCTATTAGATGACACACTTTCCACTGAAGTTGACAAAAGCTTGCTAAATGCTGTGAAGGATTCGATTGTTCAAGGGTATTTTACTAGAATTCTTGTTCTTTTCCCCTATATTGTTGTTTCAATTTATTGCTCACTATGTGTTATGGCACAGGTTTCAGTGGGGTGCTCGAGAAGGACCCCTTTGTGATGAACCAATCAGAAATGTAAAGTTCAAAATTGTGGATGCAAGGATTGCCCAAGAGCCATTGCATCGTGGATCTGGCCAGATCATTCCTACATCCCGACGTGTGGCCTATTCATCTTTCCTGATGGCAACACCGCGGCTTATGGAACCAGTATATTATGTGGAGGTAAATCCTTGCTTCTTCACTGACATCATAATGATATTGATCTTCAAAAAGGGTTGTATTCAAGTCCTCAGGAATTTAGATTGCTTAATGTATGAATCCCCTCACTTCAGCGAGGGGCGCCGCACTTTGATTTTCTGATTAATTTTTTATGCTGTTGTTTCAGATACAAACACCCATCGACTGTATTTCTGCAATCTACACTGTTCTATCTCGCAGGCGTGGACATGTTACAGCTGATGTTCCTCAACCTGGGACCCCTGCTTACATCGTCAAGGTTTGTAGGATCAACTTTATTTTTGTCGAGTCTTAATTCCATTATACTGGTCTTGGATTTTATCATGAGATTGAAGAATGTTCAGCCATAATATTGATTTCATTTATTTTTCTCATCCATGGAATTTCAGGCGTTCTTACCAGTGATTGAATCTTTTGGCTTTGAAACTGACTTGAGGTACCATACCCAAGGACAGGCTTTCTGCCTCTCAGTGTTCGATCACTGGGCTATAGTTCCTGGGGATCCACTTGATAAGAGCATCGTTCTGCGACCCCTTGAACCTGCCCCGATTCAGCATCTGGCCCGTGAGTTTATGGTCAAGACAAGACGTAGAAAGGTAAAACATTCAATCCTTTCTCTCTCTTCCACTTTTGGTACCTCTAGAAAACATAATTTTCCCAAACCATGCACTGCTGCCTCGTTATATGGCTGAGTTTTCTTTTGTTCAATTTTCCAGGGAATGAGCGAGGATGTGAGCATTAACAAATTCTTCGACGAGGCTATGATGGTGGAGCTGGCTCAGCAGGCAGCTGATCTTCATCTCCAAATGATATGATCGTAGCGGCTTCACAATACGGTGTCCACATTGCCAAAGTTAAGGAACGAGACTACGCGATTTTAGTACGATGAAAACCAGTAGAAGTATTTGTAGTGTTGAGCTTACGAGTTACAATTTTGAATGCAAGAGTAAATCTGCCTGTTGTAACTTTTGGACGTCCAAGTACTCTTGTGACCGTTGTACCCGATATTCGTCAAATCCTTCAAACTTCATAGAAAAATCGATGCGATCATCAATGCATAGATACGGTGATGTGAGAATTTCTAAATTATTGTTCTCTCTCTAATTGATACATGTGTTAACCTTTTTTTAGGCGAGAGAAACTTGGTTACACCAACATTTTAAGCTAATTATGCGTTATTACGTGATTTAACATTTATGTATAACAGTGTGTGATTAGCTTCGAGTACAGACCCTCGTCATCAAGTTCTTCCATTTCCATGATTTTCCGTTTTCGTTTTCTTATAAGAAATTTTAATTGATCCAGAGGTGTAAGGGCGAGAGAGAATTTTCTTTGTTTCTTTTCCATATATTTTGTTTTTTAGTTCCAAATTAATAATTAATTAGGTAAACAGAGGGTTTTCTGAGAAATGACATTACCAGGAAAGCCCCAACCGTTGAATTTCAGGTCTTCCTCCTCCAAATTTCACTACAAATCTGAATCCATATTATTTTTCTTTTCATGCATTGCTATACAGATATTTTCATACATTTTCGATCGATATCGGATCATACAAAGGCAAATCCAAGAACCCTAACCCTAGCCTCGTCCCCCTTTTCCCCTCTGCAACAATCAGAATTTGATCGGAAAAATCAGGTAAAAGTTAGGGTTTTGTACATTTTTCAATCCTTTGCAGTCGGTAAATTCTCTGTGCAATTAAAGATTCAATCTTTATGGACCCACCATTTTTCTCTGTACTTACATTCACTGTATAATCTGAGCATTTCTGTATAGAATTTTTGTGTATGAGAATTGCAGTATATTGGGATCAAATACAAAAATGCAATCCAAAACCCTAACCCTAGCTCCAGCTCTCAATTTTTTTCCAAATCTCAAACCCCCACACAAAACCCTAGCTTTCCACCAAATTTCAGCCCTAACCATCACCTTCCTCGCCTATGCTTCCTTCCATGCCTCCAGAAAGCCCCCAAGCATTGTCAAGAGCGTGCTTGGGCCCACATTTCAGGCCAATTCGAGCTCCGTCGACACGGGGTGGGCTCCCTTTGATGGTCCCCGGGGCACCCACCGGCTAGGAGAGCTTGATCTGGCGTTTCTTTCCGCGTATTCGATCGGAATGTACTTTGCAGGGCATGTCGGTGATCGGATTGATTTGAGGCTGTTTCTTGTATTTGGGATGATGTGTAGTGGCATTTTAACAATATTTTTCGGGTTAGGATATTGGTTTGATGTTCATGTATTGGGGTACTTTATGGTGGTTCAAGTTCTTTGTGGATTGGTTCAGTCGATTGGGTGGCCTTGTGTGGTGGCTATTGTGGGAAACTGGTTTGAGAAAGGGAAGAGGGGGTTGATCATGGGGGTCTGGAGCTCACATACCTCGGTTGGAAACATCATTGGGTCGGTTGTGGCATCAGGGGTTTTGGAATTCGGATGGGGTTGGTCCTTTGTGGTGCCCGGGGTCTTGGTGATTTTGGTTGGGATTGTGGTGTTTCTGTTTCTCCCCGTGTGTCCAGAAGACTTGGGGTTTGAGTCTCCAGTGAAGGAGATTCAGATGAATGTGGAAATTAATGGCGTGAAGAATTTGGAGGGGAAAGTAGAATCAGAGGAAGCAGGGCTTCTTGGAACAGAGCATGCAGATGCCGATGCCGATGCAGACACAGGTTCTTTGGCTGCAATTGGGTTTCTGGAGGCATGGAGGTTACCGGGTGTGGCGCCATTTGCTTTCTGCCTCTTCTTTTCGAAGCTTGTGTCGTACACTTTTCTGTACTGGTTGCCCTTTTACATAAGGCACACAGGTACTTTCTCCAGTTAGATTTGTATACATGATTTTGCAATTGAATTCTTGGGATCGTCTTGGGATTATTGTAGGGTTTCATGCTTTAGTTTTAAGCGACCACCTTCGTTATTCTTGTTTTCATTATGAGTTTCTTTACACCATGCAGCTGTTGCCGGCGTGCATTTGTCACACAAAACTGCCGGGAACCTTTCAGCCATATTCGATGTTGGAGGTGTCCTTGGCGGAATTTTAGCAGGATTAATATCTGATATGATAGAAGCTCGAGCTGTAACCTCAATCGCATTTTTGTTACTTTCCATTCCCGCCCTTGTTCTCTACCGGCTTTATGGCAGCCTATCGATGGTTGCCAACATTGTCTTGATGTTTCTTTCTGGATTGCTGGTGAATGGCCCGTACTCACTCATCACAACAGCCGTTGCAGCTGATCTTGGTACGCAAACCACAATCAAAGGAAATTCCAGAGCATTAGCTACTGTAACGGCAATCATAGACGGAACAGGTTCGGTTGGGGCAGCTCTTGGCCCGCTTTTGGCGGGGTATATCTCCACGAAGGGGTGGAACAACGTGTTTGTTATGCTAATTCTTGCTATTTTCTGTGCAACTTTGTTTTTGATTCGGATTGCGAGAACCGAGATTAAAGGGAAATTGAATGAGGGAAAATGGTATTTGTATAACGGCATAGAAGGCAGTCAATGACTGAGATTTTAGGCAGATCCATTTCCGTGTACGTTTTTTTTGTATCTCATTCTTTTGTACTACATTCATTAGTCAGAACACAACTTATTGATTGTAAATTCTTCAATTTGGTCTAGATTTGACGTGCTCTTCGAATGTAGATGGAGGAATTCAGCTGCAGAAAAATTTAGATTATAGCGCGATATTGGGATCAAACAGTGCCGTCAACCACAGGGAGGTTCCGATTGCTTGGATGGTGAGGTGAGAGAAATCGGAATCTCTCTGTGATGACGGTAAAGATAAGTTAATGAAAAGGGTGGAGATTGAGAGTAACTGTTCGAATGTAAAACAAGGGGACAGAGAAGAGAGAGAACTGTTGGAAGCATTGAAAGATGTCGAAGACTACTTCCGGGCGGTCGTATGATTCTGGTTTGCATGTTTCGAGGATGTTAGAGACCGACATGGCTCAGAAGAAATCTGCCTCGCTTGCAATCTGTCGACATGTTCAGCTAGCCTAGATAAGCTGCCATATCAAGCAATGACTTGCGCCTTGAAAAGCTTCGCGAAAGATGTCCGGGCCCTGAGGGATCAACAACGCAAGGAGCGCCAACAAAAGAGGGAGGTTGACAAGCTTGCCAGAAGACTCGGGAGGAGGATTTTGTGGAAGAAACAGACCGAAAGAAACAGATACGGATCGAGAATACTAGTACGCAGAAGATGCGTAATCGCTGTGAACGGATTTCAGATGCGGCCTTCTAAAGTTTTCAGCTCCATGGTTGAGTTTTTCGACTCCATGGCCGAGTTGTTTTCAGAGGCTGCTACAAAAAGGTCTGGTCGTCCAAGCAAAAATGCAAGCAGGACTTGTGAGAAAGCGAACGACATATGAAAGGTCTGCATACTAGGTTTGAAGAATGTTACGAACTTTTCTTTTAAAGTATATAATTACATACTTTCCTTCGTATACCAATAATAAGGATTGCAAATTTTGCAGAATAAGAATTATGTGCACATGCCTTAATCATCTAAGGTACAATAACGGACAATCTCCCCGTATATCCGACCAGCCTGATTACCTCAGATATACAACGCGAAGCCTTCTAATTCTTTTGTCTGCCAATACGGTACAAGTATTTATTCCAAAACTTGATAATACGAACATCTTCTGCATCCTTCATCTCTGGAACAGATTGGTGCACCGGACATAAAGGGAAGCGAATTGGCAGTCCGTTTCTGGATGAATGCATTTACACGAGGCAAACTCCGGTCCATTGGCTGTATTATTGCTGACCGGTTGCCCATCAGGGAATTATTGACAGATAATAGAGTAATTCTATCCATCTAAGAAGAATCTGAGATTCTGAAGTCCCTCGGCAGAAATGCTTCGTCTGAATCTAGGTCTCTCTACCAGCACATGTGGGGGTGGCTCCAAGTGGAAACTCACCATAACAAGCGTCAAATTGTCTGTTGCTCCCCGCTTTATTGCCTCCTCTACTATTTGCTTGCAGCACAACTTCACATCATTGTGCTCTTGCAGTCTCCTTCGAGCGAAATCAACAGCGTTTTGGCTGGTGAACATCTCCCATATCCCATCAGTGCCAATGATCAAAAACTCATCGTCTTTGCTCAGTGTCATCAGTTTAAGTTCTGGTTTAGCGCTCAAGGGTCCGCCCCTTTCACCCGCATCCTTCATTCCTTCAAGATGCCAATTACCTAATGCACGGGTTACGCCTAACTGACCATTTAGATACCCATCATCAATATATCCACCCAAGGACTCAATACGCATTCTTTCTTTTGTGCAACAGGGCCTATGATCCTTCGACATTTCTATAGCCACTCCACATCGTGATAATACAGCCCGGCAATCTCCGGCATTTGCCACAAGCAAAGACCTGTTAAAAATAATAATTTCACGGTGAAACAGGTTAATACTGGAACTCGAGCAGGGAGGTATAGGGCATGGATACTATTTTTACTTATATTTTTTCTCATTAAACAGACACAGTTCATTTTTCCGCGTAACACCGAATGAACGGGCCTATAAAGTTTTTTCTCTTACTCATTAACCTGATGGCCAAGAATCGTAGTGAAAGATTATTCAACACACTACTTGTAATTCAACACCGTGATTATAAATAAAAACCAACCTACACCACAAGAACGAGTTCCTTACCTCCCAAATATCATTGCAGTGAGTGCTGTTGTGCCGGAAGCAAGGGAAGCCTCACGAGAACACTTGTTTGCAAACGCAGCATCTGTCTCCATAAATGACCTTGTTATCACCTTTTCAAGTTCTAAAGGAAAGTCAGCATCCTCAACAATGACTCTTGGTAAATTGTCACGAACAAAGTGTGCTGCATCCTTTCCTCCGTGACCATCAAATACCTGTTTATTCAAATTTCCATTTACATCATTAAGATTGGTGAAAAAACAGAAGTCTGAACCGTTATGAGCTTTCATTGGGATGGTTTGAATCGTCGTAAACAGAAGAGGGCGAGAAAAACTTACGCCATAGAAAGAGATAGCTTCCTCACTGAGTAGATTATAACCAAACTTCTTAGCTAAGTCACCAATGCATAAATGAGTATCCTCCATATGGGTTCGACCCCCAATATCAGACCACTCTCCTGACCTGAGGGCAGGAACAAAGTTGAACAGGCTTTGCTTTCTGTCTGCAACCACTGTATCCTCACCTATGCTTTCAAGCTAAAAGGCAGCCAACATGAAGGAACTCGAATCAGCATGTGAAGGAATGCAAGTAGAAAGATCAAGGAAACAAAGTTTCGAAATTCATATTCAAGAAAGTAAGGAGAAGTTTCATCCAAGCATCATATGCACAGTTTCAACGAAAAAATGTTTTCCAACCACAAAATTAATGCACAAAAGTTTACATAGCACCTAAACATCAACGCCAACGGATTCCACCGAAAGGATGGAATATGATTCATATGAAAAGCTACTAAAGCAAAGTCAATACATAACAAGCATCAAGTCCCTCCCTATTCCACAATCCAAGAAATCTTTGAAAGGAATAGCTTTAATCATAATCATACATAACTTTTGTACACGAATCGCCTCACGATCAATGAAAGCGAGACTCAGAAGTGAAATTTACCAAATAGGGTTGGTTTTAATATGGAAAAACAACTTCCATCACAGTTGAAGAGAATAGGATGGCTCAAGGGTTCAAGCAGAAAACTTTCCTGTTGGATGCAGCTGTACAAACTAATTACTACAGAAAAATTATTTGAACAGTACATGAATATAAAAATTAACTAAAAGCTAAAGTAAATAATCAAGGGTAAAAGTTATTTCCAATCATCAATCCCATAAGAAAATAAAGACCCAGAATTCAATTTTAACCTCCTAAAACGCTTCAGAACTGAGACAACCCCAACAAAGCCAAGCAGTCAAAGGCCCAGAAGTTTAACTTTGAAATGAATTCAACAGGGTTTTCAAAAGACCGGACTCAATTTGGGACCTAAAAAGTTTCAAAATTGAGACAAACCCAACATATTTAAGCAGTCAAAGGACAAGAATTTTTACTTGAAACGAATTGAGCATGTTTTTCTGGGTACTTGAGCTCACCACAGCAGGAGTTTCCCGGTCCGAATTCTCCTCCTTCCGGTCGACTTGCAGAGACCACTGCTCGTTGTCATTGTCGTTGGAATCGATGTTCTTGTTATTCTCCCTGTTGCCCATTTCTTGACCGAGCTGTTCTGCGTCTATCAGGCACATGCTTCTTCTGATGAAGACGTTAATAGCGGTGCTGCGGAGTTGCGGAGGGAATCGGAAAGTAGTAAGAAACGGAGAGGGAAGAAAAATATAAGATTTGTGGGTGACTCCGGTGAGAAGATTCTGAGAGAACGTGAGTGAGTGGGAAATTGGGGCCTCTGGTTATTGTACTAGTAGTTGTCGTAGGGGCCTCTGGTTATTGTAGTAGTAGTTGTCGTAGTCTCTGACAGAGATAGAGAGAGAGACAGAGAGACAGAGACAGAGAGAGGAATTCAGACTTTTATGCGAAAGCGTGGCTGGAAACGAGTTTGTTGGGTTCTTATGATATTATTTTAATTTTTTTCCCACTTTCAATATTCAAATGTTTTATGTTTATTTTCTTTGACAAATAATCGGATATATACGAAATTAATATATTCACAAATGACCTCCAAAATCTATCAACATTTGGAGTTAAATGGAATTATTTATCCTTTAAAATTAATATTTACAATAATAATACACGTTTTGCTCATTTTACTATACATTGTTAAATAGTACAAGTTATTTTTAATTAGCTCATATATGCTTTGTTAAATTAATTTCTTAAAATTCTTCCGTGCACATTTAACTGTTAAAGTTTGTACGTCATGCATTAATGTCCTCGAAAAGATCTAAAAGTTGCCTTCGTTTTGTTTTTAGTTATATCTAAATTGCCATTTGACTAAAATGATTAAATGAATGCCACAACTAAAGAAACAAAAAAAGTTCCATTTAAAAATGCCTTAACCACTAATTACTAATTAATTCAATAGTTTGGTCTTAACCACAATTAGCCAAATTATCAGTCTTAATCGTCCTTTTTTACAATATATTATTAGATGCGTTGCGCATATGTGGGAATATACTATTTTGAGTGCAATGACCAAATGCATTTATAAAAAAGAAGTAAATATGACTAAAACTTGTTTCACTCACTCATTGTTGATTACCGTTAGATTTTGAAATTTAAACTAATTTAACGACAATCAATGAAAAATAAGCATCACCCTCACTTTAAAAGATGAGCGAAAATGCACTCAATAAATATAAAAAAATTCACAAAGAATTATGTTATGTCATGCATTGCTATATTCAGTAACTTAACTTGTTCATTTACGAAAATCATAACTAAGACCGGTCACTTACAATTATAAAAAAATACTAATAAACTTAGTACGGAGCGACTAAACTAAAAAAGGTCAAAAATAGAAGAATGTTTGGCCAAAAATGGAAGAAAAAAATCTACAAGGATGGGATTTGGGATAATCTTCCAACATACAAGCAACTACATATGTTGGGTTTTGGTTCATTGCATGACTTTCCATAACACAAAAGACAAGATTAGTTGGTTCGATTAAGTTAACACATAATACTTAACCCAAAATTATTTTATTTTTTCACTAATTTTTTTTTTACTTGTTCATCAAGCCTTGGAATATGATGGGTGGAATTCTATTGCCCCCACAACCTTCAAATCCATAAGATTCGTCCAAAGCCTAATAAGTTGAAAGACAAGTTACATGAGGAAGTTTGTCTAATTTAATTTGACAATAATTGCCCCCAAAAAGTTTGAAGGCGAAACTAAAGGACATGTTAGTTGAGAAAATGATAATGCAAGACAATGACATTGGATTCTTGAATGCAATCGAGATATATAGGTTTTCTCTATATTCCTCGTCACGAGAATAGACAGAGAGAAAAAAATAATCTCATTTATATTTAAAACAATAGAAAGATAGTTAGAAATTTACTTACATTGAGAACCACACAGTTGGGATATTTACAAGTTCTTACAATATGATACGTTTTAACATTTTCACATAACCAGTAACTTGAGATAACGCAACAGTATAATCTTAGAAGTCTTTCATGCTTTTTCTTTTGCCTCTACGAAGGGTTGCTTGCTTCAATACCATCCACTACTCTACAAGTTGTCCACCAACACCATATGTTTTTTGACATTTACTCAACCTTTACCGAATTCACTTGCACGTGGTTCAAAAGCACTTTCAGGCTTTCTCCTTTTACGTGGGACAAAAACATTCAAAGTAAGGAAAAGGAGAAAGGAGGAGCTATTTCTTCCTCTTTTCTGGAATATTTAATTCTTAATAGTGGGTAATTAGCTTATTAAACACAGAAGGAATCTTCCTAGTCCGCTGCTTACTTAACTTCCAACACAAGGGAGGGAGACTAATACGCGGTCGGTAGGAGCCTGACGTGGCGTAATATTGTCCACTCTACGACTTCATACGAGAAACTTAAAATGAGTACATTTTTGTTCATCATCATTTAGTATAGCGTATGCTTATCATTCAATTTATCATCATTAGATGAGTTTGAATTTTGAGATTTGTGCTTATCCACTACACGAATCTCGAAATTCAAACTCATCTAACGGTAATAAATAGGATTGTGAGCATACACCACACTAAATGGTGATGAGCAAAAAAGCTCTCACTTAAAATACGTAGGTATTGTCCTATTATGCCAACTAGACAATAGATATGCGATGGATAGATATTTCAAACACTCATTTTCCCATGTGCACTCAACGTTTTTTTTAAAATGAACTTTAACGAAAAGCTCTCGGTACTGTTTCTTTTAACGAAAAATCATATTTTTACACTAAAAAATCAATCCTAATACCATTCACTTTACCTTTTATTTTGTTCTTATTGTTAAAACTCAAAGTTTTCAAGTCCTTTTCATTAGTTTTGCTTTTTTTAAACCTTTGATAATGTATTTACTTATCAACAATGGGTATACGAGGAAAGACAATCATTCAGAGTCTTGACTTCCCTGATGTTTACTAACACAAAAAATAAATAAAAATACCGATCTCACCTTCAAACAAAGAATGAGATAACCTACGGTTTAGTTTATCCGATTCTCATTTGTTACTTCTCATATTCCTAACTTCTTTCATTCCTCGATTCCTTACTTGATTCCTAATAACTAAACACGTTACAAATTGAATAAATCAAAGGAGAATAACAATGATAAAAGTGTAAAAGAAAACGTGTGAAAATCAACCTTGTACTCTGAATTTGGGCCGCTACTAAACACATCCACTTTGTTACGTACCCACCGCACCCTACTAGACTATATAAAATCAGTCAGCCTGGAAGCGGTACCGGCCGGCCGTCCGTCTGCGGCGGTGACACACAAGGAACTATTCATTTCAGCTCAGAGCATACGCACTATAATTGAAACAAAATGGAAAGTGATCCTATTTTCGGTACCATGATGATCATGAAAACAACAAAACTTAACCAGTACACCGAAAACTGGAGTTAAATAACGGGGGAAGTCGCTATATCTCCTCAATTCTCTAACACAATCATCTTGAGCAAAACCCAAAATGCCTACAGCGCCGGCCTATAATGCAACTCGAAGTTCCTAAAAAAAAAAAATTCAAATTCCAGCAAAAGCCTTCTTGCCAGTGCCGGAAGATCCGGCAGGTGTCACCTTCAAGACGTTGAACCTCTTAGTCTTGGACAATGGCCTGAACATTGGTGAAGTACAAAACGAAAATCGAAAATGAGCACAGGTGGCCAGACTATATTCATAAAATGAAACTAAAAAGGAGCTTCTAAGGTAAATCACCTGCACTGGCCGATGGTAACGTGATCTCCTTCCTTCACACGGAAGCATGGAGATACGTGGGTGGGTATGTTGGAATGTCGTTTCTCATATCTTAAGCAAGCGACAAGAAAACAAAATTTCAGAACGAAAGCATAGAGGATGGTACCTTTTAATTTTCCAAAATGACAAACAGATATTGAAGGAAAAGAAAAAAAGAATGCAAACATCATACCTTTGATACTTTTTGATATAATGTAGATAATTTCTTCGAACAATGATTGTTTTATTCATCTTAGCACTATGGCAAGTTCCAGCTAAGATGCGGCCCCTGATTGAAACATTTCCAGTGAACGGGCATTTCTTATCAATGTAAGTCCCTGTAAGAAACAAAAAAAATGAGATATCGCAACCGTATCAGCAAAATACAACACTCCAATTGCTCAATGCTGACACAAAAAATAAACGGGAAAACTAAAGCTCAATTTGGAGCGAAACTAGGACCCGATCTTTGGAAATCCCAAAAAACAAGCATTTCAAGTGATTGATTCAAAACTTAAGTTATTTCACGGAATAACACTCGCTATAGTCTCTCATCTGCTTAATTCTCCTAATTGAAAGGTAGTAGTATACGCTAACGAACGACATAGTGACATACCATAAAGACTTTAACAATGCAAATCACTATAAGAATGATAATACAACTTTACTCAAATACCACTTTTTAATCAATCAGCATACAAAATTACAGCTAAACAATCATATACCAAACGCTTCGATTTCATTTCACGGCATAACTTAACCTAATATACATAAACGATACATAAGTAAAGATAGAGAGGACCTTCAATGGCATCCCTGGGGGTCTTGAAACCGAGCCCAACGCTCTTCCAGAACCGGTTACCGCCCTTTCCGGGTCTCTTCCCCTTCCCAGATTTCTTAGAGCTGATTAATTAATTCGATTGCAGCAAAACATAAATAAATAAAAATTATAAAATAGGACCCAAATGTAAATGCATAATTAAGCAGAACAAATTTAGAACAACCAAATCTTAATCCCAACAAAAAAAAAAATTTTGATTAACCAAACCAGTTACCTGATGAACACTTTGGGCTGCTTCAGAAACGCTTTCTCAGTCTGCAACCAAAAATGTCAAAAAAATCAAATAAAACGACTGCTATAAACATCGAAACGACGCCATTTTGGATACAATAACAACTAGCAGGGATAGAAGAAAAGAACCGACCTGTTCCGCCATGATTGAAAGCCCGAGAGGAGTCCAGGTGATAGCGGAGGAGGCGATTCAACGTTCCACAAAACCCTAGCCCTCTCGATTGCGCGCCGCCCGCGTGTTGTACTGACATAACTCATAAAGGCGCGATTTGGGTAAGTTTAGGCCGGGTGTTTTGGGCCGAGATATTTTGGGCCGACTCCGACTCTGCGAGCCTTCGTTTTCGTTTGACTTCTGTTTATACACCTTATTTTGCTTATCTAAGATTTTTTAATTCCGAGCATATTACTACTCTAAGCTACATGAAGATAAAGGTTTGAACTTGAGACGTACGGCTTGAAGAGGAATATTCAGTTGGGCAATTCACTACTTGCGGGAGAATTCCTAACCAAAGTATATATCTGCCTTCTAAGGATCAAATAATCCATGGAAAACTAGGTGTTAATTAGCAAGGACGGAATTCGGTTTCCTGATATTTAAGTTATGTAACACTATGATATTATATCCGCTAAACAATGTCTCGATAGTATCTCCACAAATCGAAAGAAATTTTACACCATCTCGCATGAAGTGAAAAACAAGAAGCAATCTGTGTTGAAAAAACAAAGATTGTGCTAAAAAAACCCGATAACTTTTTCACGACAATGAGTACCGTTGCTTGAACCATCCGATCATGACTACTCCTTCTGCATCGAAGAAAAGCCACACTACTTATAAACATCACAAAAATCAAAGAGCATAGGAGTACAAGAACGAAAATAAAACTGATTTAGATTTTCATGTACATCGTTGTCACCTTTTGGCGTTTTGAAGTAGGAAGATTTGGTTCGGATTCTTCAGAATCACTCCGCCGACGGGATGACCCAACATCGGAGGTCTCAGCCTGCAAAACACATAATCATCTTTATGTTCATTAACACTTTTTTAATTCATCGGTAACATTTTGTTTCAGCGAAACATCAAGATTTTCTACAATTTAATGTGCAATGTGCAGGTATGCTTTGTTTGGCCATTCACGAGAACAAGGGCACTGAATGTTGGCGTAAAATGCCATGAAAATGATAACTGCTGTAGAATACGTACCCTGGTGGGAGAATCTTGGGCCATTCTGTGCTCGGAAGAATTTCCTGGCTCTCCCCCTGTGGCCTGAGATATGAATGGCATGATTTCATGAAGCAAATTAGACAAAAATATTCCTTCATCGCTGGCCCTTGGTTCTGCTTCCGGTGCAGCCACACCACCACTAGATGGCCTTGGCTGATCTGGTACAGAACCTGCAGTCACTCCCTCGGCACTGCCGTCTTCTACATGAATTTCACCATTCGGAAAGAGGGTCCTTATAAACTGTAATATACCACCTGGGACCTGTCTCTCAGATTCTTGGCTGTTTGGGGTTCCACCAGCTGATAAAATATTGATACTGACACTTCGTGAGATAGATGGTCGTCTTACATTGGGAGCTGATCCTGCAGGAAAAAGCCACTAATGAATACACTCAACCAATTATAGCAACTTAACCACAAGGGTTAACTAATTAGAAGAGATGAACAACTCAAATCAGGTCCTTTGATGAGCTACTGCCTAAATCAATTCTTGTGCATAAGACCTTGGACGAGCTGTGTTATTTTTGTTGAACCAACCTTTTTCTTGCTACTTCACAAATTACATAGTATAACAAATTAAGAGACATGCAGTATCTAAAATATAAAGAACAAAATATCTGAGAAAATTCTAGCACCACCATATTCACTGATGGTGCTAGAAAACAAATTGTCCTCTCCTGGCACAGCCAGAGAGTATATTACCATCTCTTGCAGGATCTGCAGCATTTTGCTGTTCTGCTGCAGATTCAGAAGACTGATGATCAGTATGGAGATTGGCAGGGTGACGATCTCTGGACGCTGGAGTTCCTCGTTCACTATTCACATTCCCAGAAGCTACATGTTGAAACCTTCCAAGCAGTGGATGGTATAACCCTCCCGAAATACCAGAAGAATCTGATGGTTGGCGACTGAGGGAAGCAGGGACTGCTGCAACCATGGTCCTGATTGGCATTATCCTTACAGCCGGATCCCCGGCAAAAGCTGAACCACCTGAGACCCTTGAAGTGGCTTGATTAGTAGGATTTTCACTGCCAGAACTTGTTACTGGGTTTCTTTGCCCTGAAGGCTGCTGAGTCTCCCCATGTTCATCTCGAGTGGCATCGGGTGTGGTTGCCGACGAACCTTATGGATACAATGAATAATTCTTAAAGTTAACTTCTACTTAAGCATTAAACAAATGTAAACCAAACATGGACGGAAATAGCCTGGGAATAAATAATAAAAGGCACCTCTTCGTATTTGTATATCAATACGCCTTGGATGAAAACCAGTACCGAGTCCACTAACAAGACCAGAACCAGGCTGCATGGCTCCCATGGGGATGGCACCAAAGTTCGTTCCAGATTGGAAGGGAAGAGGCTGGCCAAATATGATTCAGTTTCAGTCAGTATAAATTAAACTATTTTCAACGAGGTGTTAATTAAGCGTTTAGAAAATTACCTGAACCATAATGGGATTAGGGCCAGTAGGGGATATGAAAACTGCAGGTCCAGCACTAACCACCGCGTCAGACTGCATAAGATGACCCAGAGAAAAGTTTAGAAGTCAGCTGAGATCTAAATGGACAGAATGACATGACAAGGAAAGTGCAATTCCAGGAAACACTACCGGTGCTTGACCCATTTGCAATGTCATGGTTGTACGACCAAGTTCAAGTAAAAAGGCACCTAGGTTATGAAATAAAGCTCCAGTTCTCGATGCACTAGCTTGGGCGCTCAACCGTGCTGCAGAATCAGTCACATTCACTTGATTCTCCAGTTGACTTGCAAATTGCTGCCAAGATGTAACATGAAAATCGCAATGTCTTTTTGTTTAACATGATAAATCAAACAGCTGAAAGCTTGCAGCTAATATAGAATCGCAGTAACTAGATTCTTCTGCTTTAAACAATAAAACTGCTCATTTGTGACAGCTAATGAAAAATCAAGCTTCCAACCACAAGTTGTCAACTTGGAACACAAATATATATACTTGCAATAATATAGCGAAAAATTACAATGGCACATAAGAACGCACAAGTAAGGATTCTCCAACTTGTTCAGCAAGTAATTGTCGAGTAGAACGCATGATTTCTGCCAACGATGCAGGAGTGGAGAGCCCCTCTTGCCTTATCCCTGAACCTGATGAGGAATTGGAGCTTTCTTCAGCCCTAAGAGTAGCAACTGCTTGATTGCTTCCCGCATCTCTGTCTGTTGTTAAATGAGTTGACACTTAACCATTTCAGCGAACTAGCACCATTTGTGTAACAACTTTATATTAATAAAAATTCTTGCACATAGAAAACTCACCAATAGCCTCAAATTCACGCCTCATATGACTCAGATATTGGGTTAAAGTGGTCAAAGAATCAGGAATTACCTGCAAAGATCACCGATAAAGCAGAATATTTATACTATTGCTTTCAAAGAGATTCATTAAGTTAAAGATCAAACTACGCAAGAAGAATAAAACTTAATGAAACAAATTGGAAACTTTTAACTTGCCAGAGGTGGCAGGGCCCCCAAAGGAAATGATGTTGAATGACTAAAAGTCCCATTTGATCTATCAGATGGACCCCTTGCGGCAGTTTGTTCAGATTGAAATTGGGAGAAATCAAACAAACCACCCAAACCCAATGTCCTTTCTGGCCTCTGTGGCCCATGTTCCTTCAGCATATCAACCATCCCCATAACAGATTAAAGATGTAAGCATAAAAGTACACATAAATTTATAATAACAAATGATATACATATGCACAAACACAGTATCCATTAAGTGATATTAGCTTCAGAAATTTTAAATTTTAAATTTACCCTGACTTCAATCCCTTCACTGCCACCTGCAATATTTGGCATTCCTATAGAGCCGAGAACAGCAGAGATTATCTGCTCAGACACAGAGACAAGGAGGAAATCATCACCATGATTTTTTTTTTTTTTTTTTTTTTTTCAGTTACCATGAAATTTATTTACACCATGTAGAAATACAAATTATTTAGTTAGAGACACACCCGATTGATTTGAGGTGCAAATCCATCCCCTTGAACAGGCATGCTGAAAGTTTCAATGACAACACCAGGGCCAGCATGACGGCTTGAACTTGAAGCTGGATCAGTTCCTACACACAGTTGGTAGTATGAAAACAATGTCAATGATGTTAATAGTTGAATCAAATATCTAGAAGAGAATTAAGGTTTGCCATTAATGTTGGACTACCAATTTTTCGAAACAGCCCATGAACCCAAACTATCAGGTAGTTTGCAAACAATGTGTCCATATCTAAAACATGTTAACACACAACACATAGAATTGTAGAGTACTAATAGTATTAAGATCAACCTTGATGATCTGGTAACCCTTCAGGTGATAGTGGAATAGGCTGTCTCACAACCAAATGTAAGGTGTGACCATCTTCAACATCTAAACTGTGTTAAGGAACTATCAAATGCGTACATGAAAAGCTGGTGAGTGAATGGAAGTGAGCCTATGAAGCCTACATTTTGGGAAACACACACCCACAGAGAATCCTAAGTAACATAGAGGTGCCACAAGGTTTAAAACTCAAAAATTCTTCCACAATACAAAAAGAATAGGATACGATAGGCAGAGAGAAGCTGATCATCCTTTAGAACTTTTCCTCGGCATATCAGTCGTTGTTGTTCTGATAGCACACCAGTGACAGAAGCAACTTGTTCTTTCAAAGCAGGAACTGGCATCTGCAGTTCATAAAACACAATTTAGTAAGGGTAGTGCTATCCACACACTCCTTTTTACCTTCCATACACTCCATGTTAATTTCTATCCTTTCATCCTTTTCAATTCATTCGATCTGACAGCAGAAGAAAATTGAAAGGGGTGTGTGAAAGGTAAAAAGGGATGTGTGGATAGCACCACCCTTAGTAAATTCAAACCTGTTGGGAAAACTTTTACAAAAAAAAATGCTACTGGCATGTTCCACGGGCAATATTCCTTCACAAATAAGCTTCAATAATTATTTTAAAAACTAGGATGAACTGTCAATTAAGTCCCTGAATTATCACCTCAGTGAAAATTAGGTCCCTAAACTATTTTTTCAGAAAAATCAATCCTTAAATTTTAAAAATTTGCCAATTACATCCCTAATATTATATTCGAAGCTACTATATTCAACTTTCCGTCAATTTAAGTCACATTACTTGCATGTGATACACATTGAAGGGTAGATTGA